TTTTTATGTTGTAAAAGTAAGGGACATAGACATTGATTAGACATGGAGCTAAGCATCTGATTGGGGACCAGATACATAGCTCATTTCAATACCATGTGATGAGTGTCACCATGGGGATTATGGCAGGTGCCTTAGAAGCATGGCATCTTGAGAACAATGCCTCAGAAAACCAGTAGACCTAAATAAGTGAAAAAAAAGGGGGGGAAGATTGCAAGGATTTGGCATTCCGGGTAATGGGAATAGCATGATCACAGGCATGGGAATGTAGAATTCTGATACATGTGGGAAATCCTAAATTGTAGCCTGAAGTGCAATCTGGGGAATGGCTCTCCATTTCACTGAGGACAAAGCCCAAACTCCTCAGCCGTGTGTATGATGTCTTTCGTGATCTGGCCCTAGCTTCATTTCTTAGCACCTGTCCCACCCACCCTCTATTCTTGCACCATATTGAACTACCTGCAGTGACCAACTCAGTGCCTGGCACATAGTAGTTTCTTCCATACATGTTCATTGAATGAATAAATGAGTGGCAGAAGACAAGCATGGAAAGGCAGGCAGTGGCCGAGCCGTGGAGGACTCTGCTTGGAGTGTCGAAACCGAGATGGTTTATGCACCTAGGGAAGGCTGACTGTCTCAGAGGACCCAGTGTATTCATCACAGAATTCAGTTTCTGGGTCTTCAATATTTAGGCTTCTGCTGGAGTGGACTTTGTGTCCTCGAATTCTCTATCTTGTCTCTCCAACTAGATTGTGACTCTTTGAGGGCAGAGACCATGTCCGATGTCTCATCCAGTGTTGGACATCAGTACATGTTGAACTAAATCTGTTTGTAGAAAGAGCTGGAATTGCCTGTTTACATCTCCACAGAAAGGGGAAACATGAGATTTGATCTAGGGATGCCTGTCTGAGCATTAGAATAATCACAAAAGCTGAATTTAGAAGCCAGTCCCCCCTGCTGCTGGCTCAACCATGACGGCAGGGTGGATCCCCTGAAGCTGGCCACACCACAGTGGTCGCGTCTTCTCCCAGCAAGTGGTGCAAAGCTGTTGGGCAGTGAAGGGCAGAATAGGCCTTGTGAGGTTCATGGGCAGCGAGGCACTTTCCTCTACCAGCCAGACTGAGAGCAGTGAGCCTGAGGCAGAAGGATGGAGAGAGCTTTTTTCTTCTTCAAGTTCCATGGCAGAGAAAGCAAGATACTTCACTTCCCTAAGATTGGTTCCCTAAAAGATTGTGAGATGTGGGTGGAAAGCCCTTAGAATGCCAAAAGCAGGAAGCAGAGGAACATATCAGTTGCATTGCTTGTTAACCACTAGCATTGACTATTTACACCTGAAAGCAAATAGGAAACAGCTCAGAATGAAGAACTTCCTGGAAATAAGCACTACATAGAGGCAGAATAGCAGAGGAGTAAGAACACCAAGTTGGTGTTAGGCAAATCCGAGCTTGGTTTGAATCTGAACTCTACCACATACTGTGGGATTATGAGCTGGTTACATTACCTTTGAGCCTTGGTTTTCTCATCTGTAAAACAGAGATAATGTTGCCAACCTATTTTGTAGTTGTGAAGACTCCATGAGATAATGGGTGTATAGCATGGTGGTTAGGAGCGCAGCCTCTAGAATTAGACTCCCTGGGCCCAGACCTTGACTCCCATCACTTCCTAGCTGTGGTCTTGGACAAGTTACTTAAATCTCGGGCTCCAGTTTCCCATTCTCACAATCAGGATAACAACAATCCCTACACCATTGGTTTGACATGAGGCTTAAATGAATTTTATTTCATGTAAAGCTCTTAAAATAATCTTGGAACATAGTAAGAGCTCAACAAATCTTAGATGTTTCTGACTACACACAGCCTCCTGTCTGGCTCAATGAATTGAAGCCGTTATAATAATCAGAGAAGATGTAGATCAATCAGTGTCATCACGAAAGCTTGGGTAAAAGAGGCCTAGAAGGGGGACAGAAACCAGAGAGAAGAGGGGACATTTGTTGGGGAATGGATTAAGCAAAAGCTTTGGAAATCAGAACAGCGAGGCTGGCCTGACCAGAAGATGTGCCAGGGTGGAGTTGAATGGCTGGGTCTTGTTTAAAATTAACTTAAGTAAATTTCTTTAAAATATCCAGTTTCTATAACGTGGTGCAAATAACAACAGCTACCCCTTCCTGGGTGTTTGCATCGTGCTGAATGCTTCATATTTTAAAAATCTCCTTTACTTCTCACAGCTATCCCCTGTGAAGAATAGTAGCTCTTATCATTCTCAGATTATTTTATTTCAGTGAGAAATTCAGCTCAGAGCTAAACACTTGTTCAAGATCTCCTTGCTAGTGAGAGGCGGGACTGAGATTTGAACCCAGATTTGTTGAACCCATTCTGAGGTTCTCTGAGGCAGGAACAGTCCTACCACAGAGCAGTTGCTACAGAGCCAAAGTTCTCATGACGCCAAAGTTCTGGGGGAATCTACCTTGGAAGCTCTCAGACCCTCGCTGTATGTGGAACAGAAAGGCCACTAACAGTCACCCCTTGTGCTGGAGAGTTGGGCTCCAAGTTTCATTCCCAGCTAGTTGGTGCCAGTGTCTAAGTCTAGTGCGAGTCAGAGCTTTGACCTATCTAGTGAATAAACCCCATACGGTTCCAAGATGGCAGCCACAGGGCAGGGCAGCTCCCTGCCGGTGCATGATCACTAGGCGTCGCCAGCCCTGCAGGAGATACACATTCATGGTCTGTCAGCCGTCCCGCAGTACAGCTTCCCACCACACCTGATTTGAAGCAGCACCTGAAATGAGGCTGGGAACAATGCTGTGGAGGCAATTCCAAGTCATTTCAAAGAAAGGTCAAGCTCTTTCCTCTTCCTTTCAGATAAGCAGATTTGTAGCTGTCCCTACCCCGTACTCCTTCTGTATAAAACCGACTTGAAGCTGCCTCCATTCAGTGTTGGCTGACCATTCCTGCTTTTAAGAGATTGAGGCCATCCTGGCCAACATGGTGAAACCCCATCTCTACTAAAAATACAAAACTTAGCTAGGCGTGGTGGCGTGCACCTGTAGTCCCACTGCTTGGGAGGCTGAGGCAGAAAAATTGTTTGATACCAGGAGGTGGAGGTTGCAGTGGGTGGAGATTGCACCACTGCACTCCAGCCTGGCAACAGAGCGAGACTCCGTCTCAAAAAAAAAAACAAAAAAAAAGTCCAGAGTAGAAAAATACTTGCTGAATTATCAACACAATAGAAATGAAAACCTATGTGCACACAAAAACCTATATGCTTTTTTTTTTTTAGACAGAATCTCACTGTCCCTCAGGCTGGAGTGCAGTGGTGTGATCTCAGCTCACTGCAACCTCTGTCTTCCGGGGTCAAGTGATTCTCGTGCCTCAGCCTCCTGAGTAGCTGGGATTACAGGCGCCCACCACCATGCCTGTTAATTTTTTTGTATTTTTAGAAGAGACAGGGTTTCACTATGTTGGTCAGGCTGGTTTCAAACTCCTGACCTCAAGTGGTCCGCCCGCCTCGGCCTCCCAAAGTGCTGGGATTACTGTGCTCAGCCAAACCTACATGCAAATGCTTATTGCAGCTTTATTCACAATCTCCAGAAGCTGGAAGCATCCCAGTGTCCTCCAACAGGCTAACAATGGAACACTACTCAGCAACGAAGTATCGAATCACTGATCCACACAACATGGGCAAACCCCAAGTGCATTCATTATGTTGAGGGAAAAAAGCCGGACTCAAAAGGCCATACACGAATTCCATTTATATGACATTATGGAAAAGGAAAAGCGATGGGGTGGGAGAGCAGACTCGTGGTTGCCCAGGGTTAAGGGTTGGGGAGGTTCAACTACAAAGGGACAGCACGAGGGGAGTCTTTTGGGGATGATGAAAGTTTTGTATCTCAATTGTTGTGATGGTTGCATGATAGAACTGTATACTAGAGTGAATTTCATAGTATGTTAATTTTAAAAAGTCAAGCAACTGGGCTGGGCATGGTGGCTCACGCCTGTAATCCCAGCACTTTGGGAGGCCGAGGTGGGTGGATCACCTGAAACCAGCCTGGCCAACATGGTGAAACCCTGTTTCTACTAAAAACACAAAACATTAGCCAGGCGTGGTGGCACATGCCTGTAATCCCAGCTACTTGGGAGGCTGAGGCAGGAGAACTGCTTGAACCTGGGACGCAGAGGTTGCAGTGAGCTGAGATCGTGCCATTGCACTCCAGCCTGGGCAACAAGAGTGAAACTCTGTCTTAAAAAAAAAAAAAAGAGTCAAGCAACTGTTGAAGGTTTCAGGAAAAAATTGTAGTGAGGTGGGGAAGCAGGGAACTACATATAGATACAAGTTAATTTCGATGGATCCCCGAGAGAATAAAGGCTCACTGTATTCAGTAACAAACAAGCTTGCTGTTCTCAAAATATATCTGATAAAACTGGGGTTTGTTGGACTTCAGCTGCGTAAAGAACAGAGAAGTCACAGGTATGTCTGGTGTAAGAAATTAGACTTTGCTTCTAAGAAATTACACAGTCTGTGCTAGAACTAAACCCTTCAAGTTCCACGAGCCATTATCTGAGATGATCAGTGTCTGACTGCATCCTAGGAAAGTCCACAGAAATGCTGTCTTCAGTGGAATCCTGTCCCAAGGGGCATGCCCAACCTACACGATGCACCCCAACGCTGTCTGTGAAACTTACTTGGATGAATGTTAAGATCAGTGCTTACCTGAGGACCATGACTTTGTGGCTTAGATGATTCTTCCTTTGCCAGGAAGGTCAATTATATACTAAACTCTGAACATGTGCTGACTGTATGTCTTTCCTGATTAAATGCATTGTTCTAATAAGTTCATCAAGTATAAAACCTAGTGATGATGGATTGTTTTTTTCTCCCCTCACCTTGCTGCTGGAAGAAAGATAAAGCCAATGTAGGACTTGGGACGATCAGATCCAGAGTTAAAGTCAGGCTTCACAGCTGCCCAAATTAGCCAGGTTCTAAAGAAAAATCACGCGACCGACCTATTTTGCTCATAAACAATTTTATTTTTTTTCTCAGTATGTGCCCTTGAAGATTCCAAAATGTTGGAGTTTCTGATTCTCCTGGGACCAAAGGTAAAAGCATTGTATGGAAACACTCAACCTTGGCTCATTACTCTCCTGAGGGGCGAAGTCGGGAGGCCTCAGAGAGAGGGAGCTGACACTCACACCTTATTCCAAGATGGGTAACACAGTGAACAAAGAATTAGTAAAACATAGACTCAGTCTGTAGAGGGCTTCAAATATACATATTCTATATATATAAACCTGTTATATAGGATTTCAACTTATTGGTTTCCTTGTGATTGGCAATTAAAGTACAAATGAGAAAGATGTTGCACACTGCTGATTTCCCCTTCTCAGCCCCCCTCCCTCCCCAACATAAATAACATTACAAAGGTCAGCTGATCCTAAGAATTTTTGTTGTTGTAAATATTTTGTTTTAAAATTCATATTCCCCTTCCTCCCCTGCAAACTACCTCTGAGAGTTTGTAACATAGCAGCATGGAACGTACAAGACTGGGGACAGCATGGAGGTCTAACGGAGAGAGCGCAGAACGTTGCTTCTCACCGACGGGCACCAGATGAGCTTCTGCATTTCCACTGACAACAGAGGCTACGACAGGAAGCAGAGAATGAGCAATGCGGCTTCGTCCTCCTCCAAAGAGGAGGCTAGCTGGACCACTGAGAAAAGCCCTAAAGGCAGTGAGGTTTTTGGAGACAGAGCACAGCTCCAGAAATGTCTTGGCTCAGTATTTACACAATATCTTGAAGCTGCACTTTCCTTTTAAGAAATGTGTGTTTCTGAAGGTGCCTCTTCCGAGGCTGGTTGGGGGAAAGGAGAAACTTAAAAACAAACCAATTCCCGCATATGTAAAAGTCCTGTTATAAGTCTTAGTTATTTTCACACACATCATTAATAGTAGATACTGACAATGATTGGTTTCTTTTTTCTTTTTTTCTTTTTTTTTTTTTTTTTTGAGAGAATGAGTAAAGAGAAAGAGAGAAAGAAGAAGTGCACTAAGGAGAGCGCCGTCCCTTCTTCAGCATTAAGTGACACTGGATGGTCTGGATTCGGTTCTTGGCCGGGACAAACTCGGGCTGAAGCTTCAATGTGGATTCATACCACACCAGTGCTTTTTCAAATTCTTCCTGTGAGGGTCAAGGAGACAAACGTGAGGGGATGGCATCACCAGGCTAAATATATACTGTGCCCTCTTTTTTCTCAAGAAGCACCTCTGTGCTAGGGACAACCCTGCAGCGTTTGCTCAATGGATCTAAGTCTCTGTGGAAAAGTCTGAGGTTCCTCTGGGAGGAAACAGCTGCCTTCATCCCCGAGGTATAACATCACAGAGGAAACTACGGCAGAGCCCAAGAACAAAAGGAAAAGGGGTAGAGCAGCTTTTACAAACCCAACAACAGTCATAATTGTGGTAATAATAAGACCTAACAGTCCTGAGTGCCTGAAATGTGTCAGACACTGTGCTAGGTGCTTCATGAAATCCTTCCATTTAATCCTCACAGAAACCTCTAGAACCGTGCCTGACAAATGCCCATTATGCATCTGCCTAAATTTTCTAATGTAGCTAGAAAGACGGAAACTAAGTCAGGTATCTCAATTGGACTCGTACATTTTGAAGAGTTTTAAAATTCTCTTTAACATTTAAAAACTCCAACAAAGATTGGGAAATGATCCCTGCCATACTGAAGGTTAATCTTTTACTTAGAGTTACACTCTTAAAGAAGAGCCCAAATCAACTGGTTCAATGACTTCTAGCCAAATGAGAGACACAAGTCCTCGTTCATAGTAGCAAACTTCACGTTTACTGGGGGCAACAACAGATTCTTCAATTTAAGAAGCAGAGGGAAATCTGCATATTCGGCAATACCTCCCTGGCAAAATACTTCTCGCCTCTGAAGTCAAGGAAGCTGGCAGCCCAGGGCTGCTCACTCTATAAGCCATTACTGAGAGCATCTTGGGAACAGCCCTATGTGTGATGCCACATTTTAGATGAAAGTGAACGGCATGATTCTCATGCTAAACTGGGTTATGACAGCTTTTAGGGGGTCCCCCTGGGATTTTCAGTTCTGAAATCAGTTCTTGCTTCTGATCAGAATGAGGGATCTGGATGACTTTGCCATTTTCTCTCTAAATGGTATTCCATGAAACTAGTGGAATTTCATCATTCATTAACTACTTGGTGAGCGCCTACCATGTGCCAAAAACACTGTGAGGCACCGGAACAGGGAGGTGAAGAGGAGTCTTGTCCCCAACGAGCCCATAGGCTAGAGGGAAAGACATATCCTTAAACAAAAAATTATAAAACAAGGTGAAAATCCAGCAAGAAAAACACGCGCAGGGTGTCATGAGTGCGATGACAGGTACCTTAGCCCAACCTGGAAGCAACAGAGCATGTGTGTGTGTCTACATGGCATGTCAGGAGAGGTTCTCTGGAACAGGTGGTGTCTCCGGGAAATTGTAGGTAAATCTGACTCTGCTGTTGGTGTTCAACTCATGTTGAGGAACTACGTAGTTGCAAATACTTAGAAGAATTTCATGTATTATTATTTTTTAAACACCTCTCAAACCCTTATCCACAAAATATAACATTTTTTTTTGGAGCTAGCAATTTTAGACAAGTTTACAGGAGACTGGTGGGCAATGACATACTCAAAGAGGTTTTGAAATCAAAGAGGTGCTACTGTTTGGCAGAGTTGGTACATTCTGCTCACACCCCAATCTCACCATTGCCACGTAGACATTGCCCAGAGTGAAGTGGTTCACAGCAAAGTGTGGTGCGATCTCTACTGCCATGGTGGCCACTATGACGGCGTCATTCCAGAGCTTGGCATTGTGCAAGATGTTGGCCAGGCTAATCAGGGGCACATCCTGGGAGAAGAAGGAGAATGGTGAGAAGGGAAAACTGGGTTTTGAGCTTTCATTCTTGTTTTTGGTGATCATAAAGAATACAGTCGGTGCTTCCTGGTGAATGATGAGAATAGTGCCACTCAAAGCGCTTTTCTGCTGTTTGCTACTGGTCTGTGATAGATAAGGTGCTTGTACCAGAATATCAATCAATTCCTTCTTTCATTGGCGGAGTCTTGCTTCGAAAACCAAACACAACAAAATGTCAGCTGAAGTAAACAATCTGCTGAATAATGTAGTTGGTTTCTTCTGGTGAAGCTCCTTGTCTCATTGCAGACTGCTAATAAAAAGTCTGTGTACTGTCCACAGACCACACTTGGAGTCATGCTGTCAGAAAGTCAAAATAATTTCTGCAAGAACCATCATATCATTAGGGGTTGGCAAACTGAGGCCTAACCTAGTCTGCTGCCTATTTTTAAAAAAGTTTTATTGGGACACAATCATTCCCAGTCCTGTACGTATTTCTGTGGCACTTTTCATACTACAATGCTAGAATTCAGTAGGTGCACCAGAGGCTGTCTGGCCTCCAGAGTCTAAGTGTTTTATTCTCTTGCCCTTTTCAGGGAGTTTGCTGACTCTTAGAGGTAGAGCCTCAGCCCTTCCCTATTGCCTAACAGTAGAGAGTACAAAATGATGGATGGAACAAGTAGCAATATTGTTGCAATACTGTTATCATCACAAATATCATTCCCTTTAAGTGCCTTACCTGAGCAATGCTACCTGTATCACGCCATATTGGGTTCTATAGCAGACACAGAAGAAACAGAAAAAAAGGACCCATCTTTGTGACAGCCATAGAATGCATGACCCTAGATGAGCTCATTGAAGTTCAATAAGGTGCCCAAATTCACAAAGCTAGTAAGAGGTAGAGCTGTGTTTAAAACTCAGCAATGCCTGGCAGTGAATCCTGTGTTCCTTCCATCATTCCATACACTGCCTTGATGAGCAAAGAAGACACCAGCCACGTCTTTAAAAAGTGTAAGATCTGGATTAATGCAGAACTCAGAACACATGGATACAAATGTGCTGATAAAAACCGTACTTTCTCACCCGTCATAAGAAGAACTGGTCTTCCGGAAAAGTTTGGTGTCACACAGGGTTAGCTGGTTTGGTTTTTGTTTTCTTTTGTTTTGTTTTTGTGGAAACAGTACAAGTCAGACAAGGATCAGGGACTGACCAACGCATGTGAAGAAATGGAAATTCGCTTCTATCTCTGTGCTTGGAAGCAAGCTCAAGCCAAGAGGATAAGCAAAACAAGTCTAAGAGGTCACCAGGCCCCCGAGGACAAGCTAAACTCAGATTGACTTCTATGTGTCAGCCCACTTTGGCCAGTGCATTTGCTATATGTTGGGTGGCTCTGGACACAACAGAAAGGGGACTCAATGCAGTAACGTCTTACAGTGATCTGGAAGGCCTTCCCCACGTTCCAACCTGCTGAGGCTGGGGAGGCACGCAGCAGGGATAGTTCACAGGCTTGCTGGGGCACATGCCCAGTCAGAAGGTCTCCTGCCCCATTCTCTCCTTGTAACATGTCCTCACTGGCTGAGCATGAGGGAGGCTGGTTGAAAGGGCAGAATAAACCATGGGGAATGGAAAGGACTAAGGGGCAGAAATTCCCACCTTCTGAGTCCCACTCACCTTCATCTGGTGTGGTGCATAGTGCAGAGCCTGGCGGAGGCAGTCGATTGCCTTCTTTCCTTGGCCTTTCACCCTCCAGTAGAGGGCTGCCATGCTGGAGAGGACCCAGGACGTCTGGTTCTGCAAAGGAATGTTAGCTAAGGCTGGTGTCCTTTCAAGAACATACTCATTTATTACCAAGATTAAGTTCAGTTACACAAGTCACGACCATTCAACTGAGTATTTACTAAGTGCTGGCACTCTGCTTAGCACTTTCTGTTCCTCCCGTCCTTCATTAACCCTTAGAACAATCCTGTGAGCTTGATACTACTATTACAGCCTTTCTGTAAATGAGAAAACGATGACTCAGAGAGGTTAAGTGTCTTGCCTAAGTTCACTCAACTACTGAATAGCAGAACTATATCTCATATCTATGTTCTATTTTATTTGACTTTCTGAATAGGTAACATATTCACATGTTTTAAAAACCACAAAGTATACAAAGTTATACCGTGAAGTCTACCTCCCATCCTTGTCTCTATGGTAGACAAGTAAACGCTATTTTTAGTTTCTTACGTTTCCTTCTAGAATTTCCTCCCCTCCCCCTCCTCTCCTTTCCTTTCTCTCTCTCTCTTTTGTTTTTTTTTTTCCTGAGACTGAGTCTCTCTGTCGCCCAGGCTGGAGTGCAGTGGCATGATCTCAGCTCACTGCAACCTTTATGTCCCGGGTTCAAGTGATTCTTCTGTCTCAGCCTCCCGAGTAGCTGGGGTTACAGGTGTGCACCATCACTCCTGTCTAATTTTTGTATTTTTAGTAGAGACAGGGTTTCGCCATGTTGGCCAGGCTGGTCTCGAACTCACGACCTCAGGTGATCCACATGCTTCGGCCTCCCAAAGTGCTGGGATTACATGAGCCACAACGCCTGGCTGGATTATAACAATTTAATCTCCGGCCAGAAATATGTAAGTATCACCACTTCCTTATAGCCCCATCACAGAGTTTGTTACTATACTCTTAGGCCTCTGCCAATCTGATGGGTGAGAAATGTGGTTTTAATCTGCATTTCCCTTCTTATGAGTGGAGCTGACCATTCTTTCATATTTGTTAGCCTTTTGTACGTCTTTTCTGTAAACTATCTGCTTTTATATTTTAATTGTTCTGTAAGGCTTTTGTCTTGTCTGTTGGTAAAAAGTTCTTTATATTTTAGGGAGATCATCCTTGCCTATGATTTACAGATACGTTTCCTGAGTTTGAAGTCTGTCTTTCGACTTACGGTACTTTGTGTGATGCAGATTTTGATTGCTACAGAATTTGTTTTTTTCATGATCTTCAATGACTTCTGGATTTTCCAGTTGTAGTTAGGAAGCCCTATCTCATTCCAAGGATATCAAGAAATTTTACTGGGCCAGGTTTGGTGACTCACAGCTGTAATCTTAGTGCCTTGGGAGGCCAAGGCAAGAGGAGATCAGCCTGGGCACCACAGCAAGATCCTGTCTCTACAAAAAATAAAAAATTTAGCTGGGCATGATGCTGTGCATCTGCAGTCTCAACTACTCAGGAGGCTGAGGCAGGAGGATCACTTGAGCCCAGGAGTTTGAGGTTACAGTGAGCTATGATCACACCACTCAATGCACTTTAGACTGGGGGAGACAGACTGAGACTTTGTCTCTTAAAAAAGCAAAAGAAATAAATATTTTACCATTTCCCCTATAGAATTTTTATAATTTCATTTTTTACATTTAAATATTTGATCCATTTGAAATTTAATCTGCTATAAGGTAAAAGATATGGCTCCAACTTAATTTTTCTCCAGATAGCTACTAATTTGTCTCAAAATTTAATTAATAATTCACCTCTCTCCCCAGTGAGATACTACCTTTACTATAGATAAAACTACAGTATTTAATTTAGGCTGAATTTTGAATTTAGGTCTAACTTTGGATTTTTAAAATCTATTTCATTTGCAACTTTTGGTTGATCTCTGACTCCCAGCCATTACAGAAGAGGCACTCAGAAGACATAACTGCTTGTCTGATTTCGGTTTTCAATAACATTTTTGTTAATTTTAGAATTCTACATTGTCAGGGAGTATAGTATTTACCTTCTGACCTATCACCCTATGCCTCACCTTTGTTTTAGTATTGGTTTTACAGCTGAATATAATCAGTGATCACTGACATTACCTTTGTGTGTTTTTCCCAATCATCTCCTGGTTGGCTAAAGCTCATCTTCTAATAGTTTCCTCAAGAAGGGCTCATGGGAACAATATTCTTTGAGATCACTGCTATGGGTTGAACTATGTTCCCCCAAATTTCATATTTTTAAGTCCCAATCCCCTGTACCTCAGAATGTAACTGTATTTGGAGGCCTTCAATGCAGTGATTAAGTTACAATAAGGCTATTAGAGTGGGGTCCTAACTCTAAATGACTGGATTTGTATGAAGGAGTTAGAACAGGAGAGACACACCAGGGTCCTATGTGCACAGAGGGACAACCATGTGAAGAGGCAGCATGAGGCCAACTGCAAGCCAAAGAGAGAGGTCTCAGGGGAAACCAACCCTGCCAGCACTTTGATCTCAGGCTTCCAGCCTCCAGACCTGTGAAATAAATTTCTGCTGTTGAAGCCACCCTGTCTGTGGTATTTTATTCTAGTGGCCCTAGCAAACCAATACACTCATATATGTTGAAAACTTTCTGTCTGGTGCTTTCAGAGCTAAAAGACAGCTTGGTTGGATTTAACACCACAGCTTAGTCTTTCTTCAAATAATGTATTGGCATTTCTGTATTGCCTCTTGGTGTGGAATGCTGCTGAGAGAAATCTGAAGCTAGCCCGACTTGTTTCTCCTTGTTAAGTGACTTGCTCTTTTTGACTGGTATTCTAAAAGGATTTTAAATAAAATGATCTTAGGCCGGGTGTGGTGGCTCACACCTGTAATCTCAGCACTCTGGGAGGCTAAAGCATGCGGATCACTTGAGGTCAAGAGCTCGAAACCAGCCTGGCCAACGTGGTGAAAACCCATCTCTACTCAAAACACAAAAATTAGCCAGGTGTGGTGGCAGCTGCCTGTAATCCCAGCTACTCAGGAAGCTGAGGCAGGAGAATCACTTGAACCTGGGAAGAGGAGGTTGCAGTGAACCAAGATTGCACCACTACACTCCAGCCTGGGTGACAAAGCGAGATTCTGTCTCCAAAAAAAAAAAAAAAAAAGATATTTATTTAATGCTAATATTTGACACACAAAAGAACATAAATCATTAAATACATGTATAATATATAATTTCTTCTTTTTTCTGAGGCAGCTCTTGCTCTGTCCCCCAGGCTGGAGTGCAGTGGTGTGATCATAGCTCACTGCAGCCTTGAACTCCTGGGTTCAAATGATCTTCCTGTCTCAGCCTCCTACCTCAGCCTCCTGAGCAGCTGGGACTACAGGCATGCACCATCATGCTTGGCTAATTTTTAAATTTTTTGTAGAGATGTGATCTTGCCATGTTGTCCAGGCTGGTCTTGAACTCCTGGGCTAAAGTGATCCTCCTGCCTCAGTCTCCCAAAGTGTTAGGATTATCAGAATGCGCCACCGTGCCAAGTAAATATAAAATTATATAACATAGTTAAATAGTAAGTATATAACTATGCAAAACATATTCACGCTGTAAAACATACAATAATGAATATTCCAGAAATGACCACCTTACTGAAAAACGAACTTGTATTTACCGATGTGTTCTTACACCATTCCATCCTCACCCACTATTCTAAATGTTATCTTTAGTATTCCATTTCACCTTTTAAACATAGTTCTATCTCTGACATACATGTATACTTGATTCAACAATATACATTAGTTTACTTCTTCCTGCACTTTATGAAAATGGTACAGTAGTTCCTCCTACTTGAAGGGGATACATTCCAAGACTCACAGTGGATGCCTGAAACCATGGATAGCATCCAGTTTTATATCTACTATGTTTTTTTCAATCTGATAACTGAGAGGCAGGGAGCATCTACAGTGTGGATACACTAGGTAAAGGGATGATTCACATCCCGTGTGGACTGAGCCCAACAGCAGGTGGTTTCATCATGCTACTCAGAATGGTGGGCAACTTAAAAACTCATAAATTATTTTTTTTTAAATTTTCCATTTAATATTTTTGGACCATGATCGACTGTGGATAACTGAAACCGTGGAAAACGAAGCCGCACATAAGGGGGGGACTATGGCATATGGTATGTAGACCTGTCGAACTTGGGGCTTTTTATTCAACATTGTATTTCTAAGATTCATTCATGTTGTATTTATTCAATTCCCTGCTACACAATTAAATGCTCATTAAGTTGAATACACTACATGGTATTTATCCATTTTCTGTAGATGGGCATTTAGATTGCTTCCTGTTTGTCTCCTGTTATAGTCTAGAATAGATACTGAAGAGTAGAATTTCTGGGCCACAGGATATGCATATGGTTCAAAAACAAAACAAAACAAAACAAAACAAAACCCCAGAGATTGCCAAATTGTTTCCCAAAGGCACTATGCCAACTTACAGCCCCATTAGCATTGTTTAAAAGGACCTCTTGATCCATATCCTTCTTAACCCTAGGTATTATTGGTGAGGGGAAAATGGTATCTTCCTGTGGTATTACTTTGCATTTCCTGATTACTAGTGAGATTGAGAATTGTTTCTCATGTTTATTCATCACACAGATCACTTCTGTGAAATGCCTGTTAATATCTTTAATGCATTTTTCTATTTTATTACTTTTCATCAATTTATATGTTTCATATATTAATCTTTTGTAGATTAAATGTGTTATACATGTTTTCTCTCTGGCCTGCCTCTCTTTAATTAAACAAATTAAACTTTAATATACTTGAATTCATTAACATTTTCTTTTATAGTTATTTTGTGTCTTCTTTAAGAAGAAAACTTCCCTTACTCCATAGCAAGAAAGGTCATCTCCTATATTTTACTCTAATTTTTAACATTTTGTTTTTGATACTTGAGTCCTTAATTCATGTGGAATTGAATTTTTGTGTCAGATATGAAGATTGAAATTAACTTAAGCAATTGCCCCAGTACTATTTCTTGAACAGTCCCTTCTCTTCCCACCAATTTTCAATATTACTTTTTAAATATATCAC